GTTACAGATTATTTTTGAGGTCACAAATCAAAAAAAATTATAAGTCACGATTTTTTTATTGGTCACATATCAAGAATTTTATAGGTCACGAATTATTTCGAGGTCACAAATCAGGTTACGTATTTGCTAAATTTATTGGTCACAGATTAATTTTTAGTCACAATTTTAAGGTCACAGTTAGATTTTTTTTGTGACCACCACCAATTTCTGTGACCATCCCCCGTCACAGATTAATTTTTAGTCACAATTTTAAGGTTACCACCAATCAAATCTGTGACCACCCTCGTGACCACCACCCCCCGTGACCATCACCTCACTACTGCCACCAGTTAAATTTTAAGGTCACATTTAGATTTTTTTTGTAACCACCACCGACACTTGTGTGACCACCACCGACTTCTGTGACTACCCACATGACCACCACCACCAAAATTAAAAAACAGGAAGACCACCAAAATAAATTGACAGATTAAAATTTGGCATTGACATATCTTGTGAATCAAAATAATTTCCCCAAACCTAACTACCATCACAAAAGCATATAGGATCTGTCTACCATAATTGACAACATCCATTACATACTGGGACACAAAAAAATAATAGTTAACTAATGGCAACTACAAAAGTGATCGTTTCTAGATCAATTAATTATTTCTTTGCTGCGGGTTTTATCCATTTCCTGTGCACATGTCTCCCGCAACCATTGGCGTCGACATGGACCACATTTCATGTTCTTCAATTGGATTCTCGATGGCTGCAGATTCCTTCCTTCTGGACGCGGTAAACCATTAGATCTAAAAGACTAAAACCAATGAAATTGTAATGAAAATGTAAAATCTCACTTTCACATACACTTTCGTTGACCGTTATGTCTGCTCGATCCATGGGTGCAAATCGAAATTGAAGGTAGACTTAGTTTTGAGAATAAAATATAAAATGTTACTCCACTGACGAATCTGAAGGATCCACGGAATAGGCGAGAGACTGATAGAGCCTCCGCGTCACAGTTCGACGCCGCTACTACAGAACCCTCTGTGTTCGACCGAGCTACTACAGTGGCTTCATCGCGCAGTGCGATGAGGGAGTTCCGGTACCGGATGAGGGGTGGGTATGGCGCTGGTGGGGAAGGTAGAGAGATCGAGAAGAGAAAGAGGGAGATGTGAGTGGTAAATGATTTTTAGGGTTTGACGGTGAAATTTGTATGTATAATATTTAATATTAAAATATCAAATATCTGATTTTTGAACAATTGAACTTTCACCCTGATTTTTGAATTTGAATTTTGAAACATAGGCTTGTGTGTAATTTCCACTCATGCAAATGTGGAGTTTGACGGGTCCTGACAATAGACCTTATGGGCCCTGTGCAAACTGAAAGAATATGAGGTAAGAAATATATTTTTGGGTTTGTAGAGATTATTCTAGATTCACATGATAGATTTCTTGCTCGAGATATATGATATTTTTTAAAGATCCAAGACTCTGTGTTGAAACTGATGATGAAAAATATGATGTGAAAGTCGTGAGAATGCAGTGATAAGGAATTTTAAAAACTATTAAGTTTCAGAGAGTTTCGTATTAAGGTATATGACATGAATTTTCAAACTGAATGGATAGGATGATACTTAATAGTAGGAAAGTATCAAAGCCAATGAATCATCCAGCTGGACCTTGGCTCCTCTCAGTTGTCTAGCACGTGTGAAGCATTAGAGATGTTTTAGTTTGTTATTGTTACCAACTAACTTTCCCTTCTTTTCTAGTTTCCCGCCTTTTTCATTTCCGAATTGTATTTATATGTTTGAACTCCTTCTACATTAATTAATTTTTGGTTGAATAAAGATTCCTTCAATATCCATCTTCTCTGTAATATGGTATCAGAGCTTATCTGCTTCCAACTTCGTAATTGATCTTCAATTGATTTCTTTTCAACTGGTTAATCATGGCCAACGATCATATTCAAATTTCTACTTCTTCAATGAGCAATTCCGCAGTTGAAGACGGATCCAATCCTTACTTCCTCCACCATTCTGATAATCCTGGTCTCGTCTTGGTTTCACAGCAATTAACTGGTGAAAACTGTACACCTTGGGCTCATGCTATGTTTATAGCCTTATCGGTGAAGAATAAGGTAGGGTTCATAGATGGATCCATTACCGGACCTGAAGGTAGTACCGAACTTCTCAATTCATGGACCGAAATAACAACATGGTTATTTCATGGATTCTTAATTCCATGTCAAAGGAAATTTCAGCTAGTATAATCTACTCTGAATCAGCTGTTGAAATCGGGACTGATCTTAAAGAACGATTTCAGCAGAAAAATGGCCCTCGGATCTTTCAACTGAGACGTAAGTTAATGAATCATACGTAGGGGCAAATGTCAGTTAGTGTCTACTTCACTAAACTGAAAACGGTTTGGGAAGAACTAAGCAATTATAGGCATTCATGTTTGTGTGGGAAACGCATTTGTGAAGGAAACAAAAAAATTAATGGATCACTACCACATGGAGTATGTTATGTCCTTCTTAATGGGGCTGAATGAGTTTTATTCTCAAGTCAGGGGTCAGATATTGCTGATGGATCCTATTCCCCCAATTAATAGAGTTTTCTCTTTTATCACTCAAGAGGAACAACAGAGAGGGATAAATTCTACTACTGGAGCCACTGATTCCTTGGCTTTCTATGCCTATGCCAAAAATGATGATAGAAAGCCAATTCTAAGGCAGTCTTACAATAGAATTCTGAAGAGAGATAGGCCGATTTGTACCTACTATGGGTATGGAGGTCATCTCGTTGATAAATGTTACAAACTCCACGGTTATCCACCTGAATACAAAGCAAAGCAAAGGACTAGTTCTGATAACCAAATTGATTTTAAATTACATGCTGTGGCTAATCAGGTTTCTGATTCAATTTCAGGACACTCTGCTGGTAATGTTGGTAATTTTGTACAAACTCTAAA